GGGGGGGGGGGGGGCGAGTGTTTCGATTTTCTTTACCCTTGTGCAGCACTTGGAGCTGCTCGCTAACTTTTCTTCGCTCAAACAGTTTGCGGCGCCTTGTGTTTTGTGTGGGATGTGAAGGGAGGACAGCTCGGACCTTTAGTTGTGGCTCTTTGAACTGTCACATTTAGGTTAGGTATGTTTTGGTGGAGGAGATGGTTCGGGTTTTCCTGGGGTGTTGAGCATGTGTGGATAATCGATCGCCTTGGATTTAGAGGGCTATGTTTTTGTTTTGGAGGTGGGATGAATTTTATACGGGGGTGGGAATTTCAATTTTTTTGGTTTGATAGTTTTCCTCCTGTCGAAGGAGAGAGGGGATGCAACGATTTATTTGCTCCTTTAGGAAGAACTCATTATTATTGCTCACGGTATTATTACTTGTCGGAGAATCCCCGTAACATCTAAAGCATTTTGATAAAAGGGATCCACCTATCGATGAAATTTTGACGCGCAGGAAGGGGGAACTTCCTTTCATTTTATCTTCTATCAGCTAATCTATCAGCTAATGGTGTAATGGTTCTTAAAATGCCCAAGATAAGAAAAAGAATTAGCAAATGGCGGATCACTTACGTGTCAAAAATATATCCTCCAAGTGGAAATAAGTGCTTCAGCTTGCTTCTAAACAACAAAAATTAACTGATGAGCACAACGAATAAGGGGGAATTATACTAAAGACACTAATTTGTGCAGTTTCACCCATATAATTAGCGACACTTCCGCTTCACATGCTTGTTGAGTAGTCCATTTAAAAAAATAGCTATTGATATCGCAGGCCCCTTCCCGGAGACAGTTTCTGGAAACAAATACATCTTGGTGGCCATGGACTTTTTCAGCAAATGGACAGAAGCATATGCGCTACCAAACCAAGAAGGGACAATCGTGGCAGACATTTTGCTAAAAGAACTTTTTAGCAGATTTGGAGTACCCATGGAACTACACTATCGCCATGGACGAAATTTGGACTTGTTTGGGAGAGTGCCATGAAAGATTAGTCATCGGCGATAAAGAACGAAGGCGGATGGGACATAAGCATTCGATTGTGTTTCGAGTCAGTTCCAACTTAAATGCGCTTATGTTATGTTGTACATTCTAAGTGATAAAAAATAATTACTGTTATAAATTAATCCATTTTAAGACTGCTATATATTTATTGTTAGTTAATTTTAAATAAATAAAACCACGTAGTTAAATCTACGTTAGATTACATTAGTTTCCCTTTTCCTTCCCAGTAGCGGTAAAAGTACTCACTATCGCTATCGTCGAACCATGCAACATTTTTCTCTGTCTGTCAGTAAAATAAATTGCAAAAATTAAATGTTGTCCTCAAAGTCTAAAAAGTTCTAGAAAGTGGTCAAGTGTAAAATACCTTCCAAATGGATTGGTTAATAATAATAAAATAAGTGTCTGGCGAATAAGATCCCTAAGAGCAAAGAAAACCGAAGAATATCTGTTTTTATTTCCTTTATTCAATTTTTAACACAACAAATTATTAACATATCACAAATCTTCATATTATTGGGTTTACTGACAATAATAAATATATATATCACAGCGATTACGACGTCATATTCTTGAAATAAATAATATAATAACATTTACGATATGATTATGTTGATTTGTCGGTATTGAGGTAAACTGATCATTTAAAATCTATAAAATTGTCGTTTAGATGTCATCATACC